GTAATTCATACAATTTTATCCATTTCCCAACACAATCTATAATGACACTTTTTGCTGTTGAAAGTGACTTTTCCAGCTTTGGAAGTAAAGTTTACAAGGGTAGAAATAGTCTACATTTTAACATTGTCTTTTCTTAATATTAGCAGTCAACACCTAACCAAGATTTGCATTATGTGACAAAATTTGGTAAATTTTCATTGAAATTCACTGCTTTTGTTCACTCTGTTTAGAATTCCTTTTCTGGAAATTAATACCATAAAAGGATTGCTACTGAGGAAAATGGTTCTTCGGTACAACATAAAAGGTTCTTTTCAGGGGAATTTCACTTGGGATAACCCCTGGTATTCTCTACACCAAACAGTATGCCATAAAAGGAAAAGGCTTCAGTTTGGGAGGTGGGAGGTGAAGAAGACCTTTAAAATAAATATTTTATTTTTATCTAGTTTCATTTTTATCTTTAAGGGCTAATTAATAAACATTACTTAAGAAAATCCAGTGAGATATCCAGAACACTTAATAATTCTTAACTTTAAATATAATGCTTATCATAGGGGTCTGAAATCATTGAAGTAGAAGTTACAAATGTTCAGAAGTTTTAATCACCAAGTATTTAAGCTTCTGAGGTTGTGTAAGCTCCATGGAAATTGTTTATCCCACAGTCATACGATGTGGGAGTAGTGAGGAATGGAGGAAATGCTGCCCTGGGGAGCTTTGTGGAATGTAGATTGTAAGTTAAAAAGAGAATCAAATACTAATTTCATTTTTTTATTTTTAGTTATTGCATTTAAAAATTATTTGTAAAAGAAACTTCCTAAAAGTAGATTCATTTGTCTTCAAAGGCGATGAATAAATTCAAATCTTATCATTTCACACTATCAGATATCAGGATAAAAAGATCTTAAAGTATAATTGTGAAAGCAGCCAAATGTTGGTTTAGCTGTCAAAGACATGTATTGTTTTCCCAGCAGCCTTTAAAATGATGGTTTTCACTTTAAAAAGTTCTCAACTAGATTGTCAACTGAACATTCTCTTGGGGAAAAAGACAGTGAATGTCTGACAGTCTCTGATGGCAGGATGGCAGCGTGTGTGTGGTCCGTGGCTAAGGATCCTTCTAGCCTTGTCTTCACTTTGGCATCTTACCAAATGCTCATTCTTTTTTAACCCTCCTTTCCCTAACTTAGACTTATAGGTTGTTCCCAGAAGGTAGAGACCATGTATTACCCCGACAACCATATAGTAAGTGCTGATAGGCAGAAGATGAGTTGCTATTGTGTGTCAAGTGCCCTACTAATTGTTGGACATGGTGCTAATAATTGGTAAACTATTATATAATCCAGTGGCATTCAGGAGTCAGGTAGGGAGATGGGAGAGCCATGGGGCCATTGATCCCTACCAGGGCATAGCGCATTGTTTTCCTTTGTGTCCATCAATATAGCTTTTGTTATATTTAATCCACTTTAATTCCTCAAAGCTACATATTAATTAATTAAACTTGCTGTGGGTATTTTCACATGAATATGACTCCCAAACTGGATTTTTACTTGTTAAAGAAAAGAGTTGTTCAATGTTTTTTATTCATGTTCATCCAAATTGAAATGGATTACTATGTTATAGCCACCATTCCTTGTGTATGGCATCTCTTTATTTTCCCTTCCAGGAAAAAGGATGCAAAAAACAGATGGTAATTGAGGGGTTTGCTTTTCTTGTGTACATAAACAGCACGGTCACTGCACTTACTTTATGTCTTCAACTTATTTTTGAAAAGCCGTGCATGGATTATATTATCCGACTCAACCGGAGACAGCATAAAAGGCTTTTGAGTATTAATTGTGATTTTTGCCACTAAAATAATTAGCTTTACCCTAACCAGTAAGAACTGGTACATGAAGGGGAAAAGGCTATTTGCTCTTTTTATTGTCTCCCTACAAATATCTACCCTTAGTTTTAGTAACACTTAACAATCTAAAATAATGTGGCGTGTTTCTCAGGATTCTAAATGGAAAGTAATCACTGCTTCCTCATTTTCATTTTCATGCTTGCATTTACTTTGCTTGGTTTCCACCTAAAGTAATTTTTTGCATGGTTTTGGCTGGAATTTTGGTTTGCAGGTTACCGCAACTTTTTCTTTGCTTCATTGCCATTTTTTCTGATTGCCTTTTTTTTTCTTTCTGCCTCCTTTTTCTTTCCTCGCATTGCCATCTACAGCCAGGCTATATAAGAGATTTGGTAAGTTCTCCATATTTACCAAAAAAGAAAGAAAATAAATATATTTAAAGCCCTAGCCACAATCTCCCCTCATGGATTAATTTCCTTCCACTCCTTGTGGGAGTAGTCATCCTAAAGTGAGTATAATTTAAATTAAAATTCAACTTTTATAATCATTCCTTTAGAAGAATTTTAAAATTATAGTGATAAATATTTCTGCTAGAAACTTGTATCCTAGGTACTCATTCTGATCATATATATCTTGGTGCTAAATTTAAAATATACCATGTATATGAGGATTAGAACATGCCATTTTATAATAGCAGTATCGTGTGTGCTTGGAATATGTGTCAAGAGTGACAGTTACGTACTCCTAATAGTACTTTTTGTTTCTTAATACATATATATATGGAAACAAATTAAGAATATATCGAAGTTTATTTTAAAATTATGTTACTAAAATTCCCACATGTAGCTTCAGATATTTTCTAACTCCAACTTTTGCAATATAAGATTTTGGGGTGGGACACCTAATTCAATGTTTCAATCTTTGTCTTGCTTCTACCTTGAGGAACACTGTCTAATGGTAAAGGTGATGTTTAATCATGTTTAGATAACAGCAAGAATCTTGGAAGCCCATCAGAATGTAGCTCAGATGAGTCTAATTGAAGCCAAGATGAGATTTATTCAAGCTTGGCAATCCTTACCGGAATTCGGCATCACACACTTCATTGCAAGGTCAGTGATTCTACTAAGCACCTAAGTGTAAACCTTAATCTGTGCCTTTTTAATCAATTTACTTTGTGTAATTAGAAATTAAGCATTTAAAGCTACAACTGAGATCCATTAACCTATTTTACAGTAAAATTTAGAGAATGTTGGAATGTATTCACAATTAAAGAGCACATATCTTGAAGAGAAACAAACCAACATGGCCCCCACTCCCCAACATGTTTTTAAACTTTTATTTACTATGTTTTTAATACTGTAGGTTCCAAGGGGGCAAAAAAGAAGAACTTATTGGAATTGCATATAACAGATTGATTAGGATGGATGCCAGCACAGGAGACGCAATTAAAACATGGCGTTTCAGTAACATGAAACAGTGGAATGTAAACTGGGAAATAAAAATGGTAAGCTATAAAACAATGTTACTTAAATACTGCTAAAAATTAAATTAAGAAAAAAGCCTATAAATTCTGAAGATTAGTTGTACCATTACCTCTTAAAATATAAAAGAAGGTTGGTTATTCATTTCCTACATAAATTTACCTATTTTGTCACTAGCTCAGTTAATTAAAATTCTAAGAAATAATGATCTACTTAGAAAATTGCCTTATTTTTTATAAGGTTGTCTTTCTATGATGTGTAAATTCCTTCCACTCACAATAGCAGCTACTGCTTATTGAATGCCTACTTTGTGCCAGACACGATACTAGATGTTTTACATCTGTACCCTGTTTCTAAATCTCACCACAGCCTTAGGAGGTAGATGGATTATCCCTACTTTCCAAACGAGGACACTGAAATTTAGAGGCCTGAGAGCCCTCGTTGTCCGTGACCACACACTTAGTAAGAGAGTCAGGATTCAGACTTAGATGTTGAGGGATCAAAAACCTGGCCCATCTGCTACCATGTATCACGCTGCCCTTAGCCACGGAGCACATGAACATCATGTAAAATAAGCAGAATCTTTTACTAAGAAGTCATTTGTTTTAAGATCACTGGGTTGGTTGTATCAATTCCTATCACTTCACAGAATCTCATATTTCTGAAATACTTAAACATGATACCTAAAGGTTAAATATCTAAAGCTAATATTAAACACAGGAAGTAGGTTTTCTCCCAGGACTTGAAGAGAGACATTCTTATTAATTGAATCACCAGAGGTCATTTGGGAACTTAATGACCTAAACCCCTTGTCTTCCTTTTCAGAATATGAAAACTAAAAAGGTGTGGGGGAGGGGCTAGTAATCTTTGCTTACTCCTTTGAGTTTGAAGGCATTATTAGTTTAGGATTAAAAAGGAGTATTTGAGGTATTTTGTGATAGCACAGTAGCTTTGCTTGGACTCGCCCATCTAGAGTTTTACTGGGACTTATGGTTCTTTGTCTTTGTTCCAGGTCACGGTAGAGTTTGCAGATGAAGTACGATTGTCCTTCATTTGTACTGAAGTAGATTGCAAAGTGGTTCATGAATTTATTGGTGGTTATATATTTCTCTCAACACGTGCAAAAGACCAAAATGAGAGTTTAGATGAAGAGATGTTCTACAAACTCACCAGTGGTTGGGTGTGAATGGAAATACTGTGTAATAAAACTCCATGGCCATGACAATATTTAACTTTAAAAGCTGTTGTTTGTTATATGCTGCTTAATAAAGTAAGCTTGAAATTTATCTTTTATCATGAAAACTTTTTTGCCTTACCAGACCAGTTAATATGTGCACTAACAAGCACTACTATTAATCTGCTATCATGATACAGTATATGAACTTGAATATGGCACACATTCCTTAGGGCCATGAATTGAAAACTGAAGTAGTGGGCAAGTCGGGAACAAAACATCACTGATTTAAGCTAGCCAAACTGTAAGAAATTCAAGCCATCTACTTTAAAGCTATCCAGGGCTTAAACTATATGAAGTCTATTTATCATGTTTAATGCATGTGTTTTAATGTATGTTTAATTTGACCTTGTGTTTTTAAAAATACCCCACTTCTGGTAGCCATTTGAAACATCCCCTCCCCCAGAATAAATCAGGTCTGCAAAAGATGCCTGATGTTTAATAATGTCATTGTTTGACCTTGAAGGAGAATACTGTTAGTCCGTTATGCTTGGTTTGTTGTTGTCCTTGAATAAGCATGTATGTATATTGTCTTGTGTTTTTATTTTTACACCATACTGTATTACAACACTTAGTATTCACCAGCATATTCACTGTCTGCCTAAAATATGCAACTTTTGCATTGCAATATGAAGTAAAGGTCTATGAAGTATGCATTTTGTGTAACTAATGTACAAACACAAATTTTATAAAATTGTACAGATTTTTTTTTAAAAAAACTACTCACAACTAGCAATGGCTTAGATGTAGCATCTTTACATTAAATGCTTTTAAAAATATAATTGATGTGCAGTTTTAATATCTGCTAAATTAAGTATGACTTCATTATAGTCATGATTTGCCACAGTGTCCTTAACTCTAATGCCTGGACTGGCCACGTTCTAGTCTGTTGCGCTGTTACAATCTGCATTGGTGCTAGTCACAAAATTCCTAGCTCACATAGCCCAAAGGGGTGCCAGGGAGGGTGGATTACCAGTGTTGTCAAATCATCCATGGTTCAAAGACTGTATAAATGCATTTTATTTTAAATAAAAGCAAAATCTTTTATTTAATGTTTCTTTTTGTACTTCTTGTTCTTATGGCTCACATAGTATTAACTTGGTGGAAACGAACGTGTGCCTGTTAGAAATGCTTTGCCTACATCTTGTGTGTGAGAACAACTTGCTAGCATTCTAAAGCGCTACCAGATGGAGATACTTCATCTCGTAGAGTGTTCCACTCAAATTGAGAACCCCCTCATTTTCCCTGCTACTTAAGAGTGAACTGTATAATATTTAAATGTTATAAATGTAGGTATAAACAAAAACAGGACAAAAAGGTGAACAGACATTATTGACTTGGGCAGAATTTGATTTAAACAGCAAAATGACTCTTAGTTAAAAAAAAAAAAAAAACCCAACACATTAATTTACTCCCTGTTGTCATTCAGACTCGAAACTTCAGACCTGGACTTTCTCCGTTACCTGCTGCATTTTATCAGGCCAAGTCGTACTGATTTTTCCCTCATGCAAACTTGTGTCTTCTTCTTGTCTTTGCTGTCACCGTCACCTGTATTCTGTGCCTGCCATGATGCAGCAGCCTCTTAAAGCAAAACTCAGGTCACATTCTCCATGGCTTTTCTTTGTACTTGAAGGCTATGTCATAACAAGCTTTGCTCCAAAATTTAAGAGCTCCTTTCCATTAAAAATAAAAATTTTAAGTAACCTTTTTCTGCATCTGATGTACAGGTCACCAGCTTGTATAGTCACATCTAAGAGCCCTACAATATATTTAGACTGTGACACACCAATATATTTAAACATGATAAAGGATGTCCTTTATCATCCCACTGGCTGAGCCCCAGGACAGCACCGCCTGTATTCCAGCTCTGTGACATTGCCAACAGCATAAATGCTGAAGTCCCTAGTCAAGTGCTCAGAGGTCTGTGGGCTGTTTCCCAGCTCACATTTTCATCCTTATCTCTCAATAGTCTTCTGCATTCCAGTCAAACTGGACAGATCACATTCTACAGACACTTTGCCCATCTCCACATCATTCCCCAAACCTGGGATGTCTTCATCCCCAAACCCTCCAGTCTCCACTTGTCCAAATCTCGTTTTAGAAATTTTACAAAGAGCTCAGGTATTCTTTCTTCCATGAATACTTGTAAGTTTCCTTGTGG